ACGAGAGGACACTGCCAAGGAGAGCACCACTCTCCTGAATTCCCCCTGCTGGACCTGTTCCCCAGAGCAGCTTTCAGTCGTACCCACAGATACAGCCGGGCACTCGAGCCGTCAGAGCAGCAGTCCAGCGGGGATCCGAACCCACAGCCTGCCAGCCCCGACCCCTGACCCCCGACCCCTGACCGCGTTCACGACCCCCTCTGAGCCACACTCTCCTCGGCCCGCTTGCCGGACTCTCTCCCACTGCCCGAGGGGAGCCCGTGAGGAGGCCGGGGTCTCATTTCTTCTGTGTGGCGGGTTGCTATGACGACAGGGGGGGGACCCACACGGAGTGAGAGAGCCGCCGCAGGACGCAGCCCAGCGAGGGCACAACAACCCCAGCCCTACAGCGCCCATGGGGGCGGGGCGCACCCAGGACTGACGCACCATCACCGCCCCGGATCCTCTGCACACCCCTCTCTCCCGTCCCGCGCACAGGGCTGGTGACAGACCCCCTGGGACAGCCTGCACCTACGTCATAACCAAATAACACCTCCTCACACTTCTATAGCTCTGTCCTGGACACTCCCCTCAGAGCTCTTTACAGGTCATGGGGATCCCCTCCACCCCCACCAGTGTGCAGCCCCACCTGGATGATGCTCCAGTCCTCTCACACACACCAGCTCTCAGTGGGGAGGAGAGCAGAGTGATGGAGCCAGTTCAGAGATGGGGGATATTAGGAGGCCATTAACAGTGAACGAGCACTTCAGTGGATCAGCGCTAATAACAAGGGCAAGCTCGTCTCTCCCACCCGCTGTGATCCCAGAACCCAACAGGTCCCTGGCACTGGGGGGTACACCTCTCTCACAGGCACGGGACCCTCGCTGGGCTGGGACCGAACTGGACCCTGTCTCTGCCTGTCACTGACCAGGTCCAGGTCCGGCGGCGGCCGTGCGGACACCGGACCCCTGGGTGGCGCCAGGTTTGAATCCCCGACGGGGAACCAGAGAACTTCTCACCACCGGGGTGCCGCCGGGGAGGGGAGGGGGAGACGGTCCCGCCTCAGAGCGGAACCATTTCAAGCGCTAATCCCGGTCCGGTCCAGCGGTACCGGCGCTCCGACCGAGCCCAAGTTTCCCCGACACCCGCTGGGGAGAGGCGGGCGGCGGGCTGTCCGGTCCGCTGCCGCCTGAACCGGCCCAGTATGGGCTCGCACCGACGTCATCGACTCCAGGCAGAAAACAGGAAACTGCCAACCGGACCCCGCGGATCAGCGCTGACGCGGCCGTACGGATTCCCTTT